ACCGTTTTTTCATGTTGATCTTGTATCTGTGACCTTGGCGAGCTCATTTATTATTTTCAGAAGTGAACTGAATCCACTTTTTCCTTCTTTCCTTCTTCCCTTTCTTTCTTCTTTCCCCTTTCCCTTCTTGTCTCCATTTTCTTCCACTTTCTTTGTTTCTTTTTGGTGAGTTTCTTGAGATTTTCTATCCACATAATTATGTTCTGTGTAAATAGATGGTTTCTTTTTTGTCCTTTCTTATCTAAAAGTATATGCTTTTTATTTTTAAAAAAATATCTATTTACTGTTCTGGTTTCCAGTTCTATACTGACAATAGCAAACCCATAAATCCTGCCCCCCCCCCTTTTTTTGGCAGGGAGGGAGCTATCAGGGAAAAAGTATTCACGTTTTCACCATTAGGAAGTGAGCTCTAGGATTTTTAAGATACTCTTTATCAAGCTGAAGAAGTTCCATTCTCTGTTTTTCTAGGAGTTAATATGAAAAAGTTTTGAATTTTGTCAAGTGATTTTTTTCTCTTTTGTCTGTTAATATGGAAAATTAGATTGATCTATTTTTGAAAATGGAATGACTCTTGTATCTTTGGAATAAACTACATCTGGTTATAACATATAATTCTTTTTATGTATTACTAAATTATATTTATTTTATTAACATTTTATTGAGGATTTTTGTGAATATATTCAAGGGACATTAATATGTTGCTTTCCTTTCTTATTATTTGATTTTGATGTTGGGATAACTCATAAAATCAATTGATAAGTATTCTGTTCTCTATTTTCTGGAAAAGATTGTGTAGAATTATTGTTATTTCTTTTTCAAATGTTAAGTAAAATTACCCAGTGAAATGGCCAGGGCTTGGAGTCTTATTCCTTGGGCATTTTCAGATGATCCAAATATCTGTTTCATGTTGAGGAGGTTGTCATAATATGTTTTTTAAAGAGTGGGTCCAGTTCATCTGAATTGTCACATTTACACGTGTAGAATTTTTCAGAGTATTTCCTTACTATCGTTTGACGTGTGCAGTGTCTACACTGACAGCCCAGTTTCATTTTTGATATTGGTCACTTGTGACTTCCCTCATTTCCTTTGTTAGTCTTGCTACTGAGTTGTTACTTTTGTTGATCTTTTTAAAGATTTAGTTCTCTTGTTCCACTGTTTTCTCTATTTTTTCTGTTTTCAATTTCATTAACTCTTGATCTTTATTTACTTCTTTCTGCTTCTTTTACATTTCTTTTTATATTCTTTAGGTGGAATCTCGGGTTATTGGTGTGAAATTTCTCTTCTCTTTTTTCTTTCTCTTTCATTCTCCTCCTCCTTTTCTTCCTCTTCCTCTTTTTCTTTTTCTCCTCCTCCTTCCCCTCCTCCTCCTCCTCCTCACGGAACCTGCATATTTTCCTCTCAGCACTGTTAACTGTTCCATCAGTTTTATACACTATATTTTAACCTTCATTCTGTTAAGTGTGCCTTTTATTTCCTTTTAGATTTAACAATTTTTGGAACTTTGGAAGCTTTATAGTTATTCAAGTTATTCTCTATCTTAATTTATGTCTTATGGGTACTTGAAAATAAGGCATTCTGTTGTTGTTGGCTACAGTGTCCTGTAAGTGTCCAGTAGACCCAGTTTGTGTCTATGTTTTGCTGTCTAGCTGCCATGTCCATTGCTGAAACAGGAGGAGTCTCTGATTGTGGATTTGTCCACTTCTCTTCTCAGTTCTATCAGTTTGGATTTCCCATGTTATGCACCTCTAACATCGGATGCATCTGTATTTAGCATTTCCATATCTTCCTGGCAAATCAACCTGTTTTTCATTTTGGAATGTCTCTCTCATCTCTTGAAGTTTTCTTTGCTTCTATATCTACTCGATCTGATATTCAAATAGCCTCTCTTGCTCTCTTTTGATTATTGTTTGCATGGTATACTGTTTTTTGTCCTTTGACTAATCTGTCTTACCCTACAAACAGCATATGTTGGCTCACGTTTTAAAACCAACTTTGCCTTTAAATTGTTGTTTTTGATGATTTAAAATTAAATTTGAAATGTAAGGGTTTAGATTGCATGGGAAATATTACAAAGAATCAACAACTGGGATCTCATCCTATTAAATAGCTTCTGTACAGCAAAAGAAATCACCAATAGAGGGAAAAGACAACCCACAGAATGGTAAAACATTTTAGCCAGTTAGCAAAAGACTAATATGTAGAACATGTTAAAAACTGAAAAAAATCAGATCCTACAAATTCAAAGACCCAATCAAAAAGTGGGCATCTGAGATAAACACATACTTCTTAGAGGCAGAAATACAAATGGCAAATCAATATATGAAAACATGTTCAACATCTCTCTTGTCATTTGAGATACAAATTAAAAACAATGCTGAGATTCCATCTCACTCCAGAAACAATGGCTATTATCTAGAAATTAACCAACAACCAATGCTGGAGAGGGTTCTGGGGGAAAAAAGAAACCGTTCTCCAGTGTTGGTGTGAGTATAGACTGGTGCAACCACTGTGGAAATCAGTGTGGAAATTCCTCAAAGAAATTAGGGTTAGAGGTCCCATTTGATCCAACTATTCCCTTTGTGGGTATCTTCTTAGGTGAATTGAAAACACCACACCACAGTGATATGTATGCACCCATGTTTATAGCAGCACAGTTTGTAATAGCTAAATCTTGAAAACAGTCCAAATGCCCATCAGCTGAGGAATGGATAAAAAGATGTTTTTTTATTTATTTTAAAGAGTTTAAGACAAAAGAGGACAGAACAAAGCAGATCAGAACAGAACAATATAAGCAACACAGTACTTCACCACAAGACAACTATATACAAAGGAGTACTACTCTTCCATAAGAAAGATAAACATGAAACATTTCTAGGTAAATAGATGCACCTTGAGACCATACTCTTAAGTGAAATAATTGTTCATGCATGTGTAAATATACATTATTTCTCTGATATGAGAAACCTTAAGTGTAAATAAGGACCAAAGTGTATAATAGGCATTGTGAAATAGGAAGAAATGGTTCAAAAGAAAGGGGAACTAGGGACAAGGGAGGGGGAAAAGAAGGAAGGGAAAAAACAATAAAATAAGGATAAAGTAGAAACAAAACTTAATAAATAAGGAGGAGAGGAAGGGTTGAAGGGACGAGAGGGGACTGGGGAAAAAAGAGGAATCAAACTATATCATATACAGGTACAAATTCCCTGTGATGCATATGGTCATTATGTCTATCTAAACCATGCCAGCAAACTTAACAAAAAAGAAAAAAGATAAACATAACATTGCCAGTTGGCTATACATATTTTCTACTTTTTTGATGAGACTATTTCTTTGGTGAAACTGTTGTTTTATTTGTTTCAAGCATGGTCATGATTACTCACTAAAGCATTTTTTTTTTTTTTTGTCCTGGGGATCAAACTCATGACCTCATGCTTGCCAAGCAAGCATTTATGCCACTAAGCTAAATCCCTGGTCCAATTAAAGTATTTTTATACTGCCTGCTCCAAGTTCTTTTTCAGATCATTTTGTTATCTCAGTGTCGGTATTTATTGATCAACTTCCCACTCAATTGAGATTTTCCTAGTTCTCAGTATTATGAGTGATTTTGGTTGCAGCTTGTGCACTCTGGATATTTTAGGATGAGACCCTGGGTCTTAAGTCTGGTCTTGGCTAACTTCTTGTGACACTGCTCCACCAAGACAAGGAAATTTCCACTATAACATCTGCTAACAACCATGTGAAAAGAAGCACATGGCCTCCACTGACACTACCAGAGTGTGATGATGATCGTCCTGACTCTGTGCTTTGCCTTTTCTGGCACACTACAGTGTGTGAGGTGGGTGGGAGTTGTATTTGTCATTGCTGGGTGGAATGAGAGATTTAGACTCTGCACATGGCTTCCAAGGCACTGTAGAGAGGTGAGGGTAGAGGAGGATGCGTTACTGCAAACTGGATCTGAAATTCCAGCTCCCTCCTGGATCTCTGATAGAACCCCATTGATAGGGTTGCACTGCCTCATTATGATCTCGTGAACACGGAAGCCTGCATTTCCCACCTGCTTCCCTCGGAATGGGTGAAGGTGGGACCACAGATTTTCTGGAGTATAGCAATTATTTTCGAAAGACTACCAACTGTAGGCTGCCCCTCTCTTGGTCCTTTGACTCGTAGCTGCCTGCCACTCTTCCTCCTCTTGCTTTTCTCCTTCTTGTTCACCTTTTTCCATCTCCTCTTCTTTTCTTCACCTTCACTCCTCCTACTTCTTTCCTTCCTCCTCATCCTCTTTCTCCTCCTCCTCCTCCACCTCCTTTGCCTTCTCTTTATCATTCTCCTATTTCTTCTTTTGATGTGTGTAGAAGCCTTTTCCAGGTTGTCAACTTCTTCAGCAACTCTGAGATGTCTTAGATACATAAAGAACCCAGAGAACTCCTTGTTGTGTTATTGGTTGGGTCCCAGGGACCCCATCTCATTCTTCTGGAATCGTGTCACATTTGTTTTATATATAATGTCCAGAGTTTTCCATGCATTTACCAGAAACAATAGAAATGAACATATATCTGCTTCATCTTTCTGGGAAGGGAAGCCTACATTTTTGGTGTACATTACAGAAGCTAATTTCACTCTTCACCCAATCTGAGTATCTTCACTTTTAATAACAGGTTTACTTTACTTATATCATTGGGTGTGATCCTGTGAGTCAGTGTTATCTTTTCTGGGAGAGCATATTTAAAGTTTAACATATTAATCACATGATTACCAATAGGCTGTTTCTATATGTTTTCCTCAAAATAAGACTTAATTAGAAAATATTCAGCCTTGAAAATCAGAGATTGAAAATGCCAGCCCAGCCAGCCTGTCCTTGCCTATCTGCCACTGCACAAAAGAACAGGACTTGAACAAACACATAGGGGTGTGCTCTTCTGCATGACACTGGCCATCACCATGGTGATGTCCAGCTAGGGCTGATTTTCCAGGTAGGGCTTATTTTTAGCTACCATTCCTACCTGGCAAGGAGCTCATCAAGTTGCCTTCTCCCCATTTTGTCCCTTTACGGTGCACATAACATACAGGTGGAAGGTTTCCTTAATGGTGACAATACTCCATCAGGAGACCCTGAAAAGAAGTAGCAATCGGTTGACTGGTGTCTTTATGTTGACCACACTGCTGCCACTAAATGCAAAACTCATCTCTTTCTTTTCTTTCTCCTTCCTCTTATAACTTCTGGGATGCTAATACTCTCTGGATTCTGAGAGGAGAGACAAGATCTAACCAATCCTTTTCTTTTTCTTACCCTATCTTATAGTTGGCATCCAGGGTGGTTTTGTTTGTCCAATAGGAATTTGAATATGTGAAATTAACCAAAAACACAGCAGTTAGAATTTAGCAAGAGCAAGAGGAAGAGTTAGGCAGGAGCAGACGGCAGACGCGGTGATATCTCACGTTTCCAGTTTCTAGTCAGGGTGCTGAGGTGCATGGTTATGGTCAGGGGAGCTGCCTCCATGTGGGTGCTGGGGTTTGCTGCCTTCATAAACACCCAGTATAATTTCTCATTCAAATGCAGTTCCAAGGTCCCCTTCGCTGTCCGATGGAAAATGTGCACCCTGTTATACCCATAACACACAAACCCCTGGTGAAATTTTTCTGTACTCCAGGTGAGTACAAAGGAGATGTGTCCTGGGTACTTCAGAATCTTGATCTCTATTTAAGTGGAGAATTAACAGTTTTGCCTAGGTTTTGTTCTCTCCTCCCACAACTTTAGTGTCCTGGGGCAAATTTTTCTCCCTCCAAATCCTTCTAATTTTTCCTCAAGTGAAGTGAAGCCTCCCCGCTAGAGACGGCATGGAGGAAGTGGGGGAAGGAGTGTTGGGGGAGGCATGGCCCTGAGCCAGGCACCCACAGCCGGAATCCCCAGAGGACTCTGACCTCTATCGCTAGGGTGGCTGCCTGCATTTCCAAACACAAGGATGCCTGATTCCTAGCTGCTTCTCCAATTTAATGTTAATTTAGATGCTTGACAATGAGCATCAAGGGGCTGATAGGTGAATTTCTTCACACACTGCTGTCATCCATGATCAGGTCCCTCAGAGCTTGCTCCTCATGGCATTTGTACTGGGACGACATTGACCTATTTCTCCTGATAGGAAAGCTTTGGCTTGGAGCCAGATAGAGCGCAGACTTTCTCACAGCAGAGTGGACCTTTGTTGCAAAACTGGTAGCCTCTTTACTTTTCTCCTTCTAATCCTGCACCAGCTCTTTCCCTCTCTCTCTCCCTGATCTCTGGCCTGGAAACCAGTCTCATAATTGTAGAGCAATTGTAGCTGATGATGGCTTCCTCCTCAGAGATGCCTGATTTTTAAAAAAGTAGTACATTTTTGCAATATGTAATAAGTACATTCATCTCACAGAGTTGGAAATGTGCGTATTGCATTCACACCAAGGAGGGAATACCAAAGGATGTAACTTCAAGATAATAGCATCCTCAGTGAAATGTGAACAGCAGGAATGGAAGCTTCTAGATACCCCTTCCCCGGAGAGGCAGTGTGTGGGACCCATAGTTTGGCAGTCGGCTTTCAAAGTATGTCTCAGGGCACTTCAAACTCTATAAATGGGAAACTCAGAACACAACTTCTCCTGCCAACACCACTAGTAGGCACTATGGAACCCATAGAGTTGGTTAAATTTATTTTCCTGGAGAGATATGGATACTTAGCTCAGATGCTACTTCCTCTGGGGAGTCCTCCCTAAATCATCACTGATTGGGTGCCTAGCTTAGTCCTCCCCTAGCATCCCCAAATCCCTCCCTCTTGGCACTGGGCCCACTCCAGGGTGCTTGCATATTGGGGTCACAGTGATGGGTCTGTCACACCTACTCATCGAGGGGCCATGATTTTTAAATATTTGAACCCCCAATGCCTTGCATAGTGCCAGACACATAGTAAGCACTCATAAATATGTCAAAAGTTATATTGTAGCTGGTACATACAGACATCTACCAGAATAAGTCTTTGGCTAATTTATTATGTTGGGGAGTTAAAAGTCCATTGCATGCACCAAAGGCCACTTTCCAAAATTAATGTTTCACTGGGAGGGAAAACTGTCTCTGAGATTTGAGGGAAGTAGTCTGAGCTGAGCCCTGCAGAACCTTGACACGGGCTTGTTCCTTGTGAGCAGACGTTCAGAATTGAGGGCCTCAGGGTCATGGAGGTGCAGGAAGGAGAGAAAACTCTTTGCTGCTGGAATTCCAGCTTGGAAACTTGATGTCCATGTCACAGGTAGTCCTTTTCCTTTATTAAATATGAAAAACTTTGAGATAATTTTTCAGGCAAGTCAGGTACTAGACCAGTGTAGCATGGCACATCATAGGTGCTCAGCTAAACTTTGCTCAGCCAAGCTTAGCTGAATAGTGCCTAATGCTGCCAGCCACGCACTCACTGCTTCTGCATGCCTCTCGCTTACAAGGAACAGAAAAGGTGACAGGAACAAAACAGTGGGCCAGGGCCAGACTTCTAACAGCACAGCTCCTACTGCCCTAGATGATCTGGGCTCATAGCATTGAGAACACAGACTGTAAGTATTCTGCCTGCACTGCTTTTGGAAACGCAGTCAAGTCCAAGGTGAGAACCCCTTTTCCTCTGTGTGGGAGGCCTGATCCCATGACCACCCCAGATGACTGACTGGTGGCCATGGGCAAGTATGGGGTACATATAGGATGTGTGGCCATACAGAGAGCACCCAAGGACCTCAACTAGGAAGGCAGAGGGAAGCCTTTGCTGTGCAGGCCTCGAGGACACCCAAGGCGTGGAGCCATCTTAACGGGGTCCTCTTGATGGTGCAAAGAGCACCGCAGGGAGAAGACCACTGTCAGAGACATGGGAGTTTGCCTTGAGTATGAAGGGAGGTGTTTGCAATTAACCATTGGTTGCTAGGTCTGGTGCTCAAACTAGCTACCACCTACACGAGTTGAGAAAAGGAAGAAAGAGCAGTTAGAATGCAGGAAAGAGGGAAAAACCCATTTCGCCCACTTGACATGCTCAAATTACTGCTGCCAGCCGCCTGTGCGGTCAGGACAGTCCCCTGCGAGCCCTGCGCAGACATTTGGTTGCTGTGGTGAGTGCCCTCTTGGAACCGAAGGCGCTGAGGCCTTCTCTGAGCACAAAGGGCACCTGTATGGACGTTGGGGACCCCAATCCATCCTGGATCCTCCCCTCAGTGGCTCAATGACTGTTCCTCAGCCGAGCAACGTGGGGGGAGGGGGAGGGGAAGAACTTTGGGAGAAGTGAAGCAGAAAGAATCTTTGTGACAATGACAATTTAAGAAACACTAGACAACCAGCTCACTGGGTGCTTCTGAAGCTTCTGCGGGGGGGTGAGGCAGTGGAGCGGTCATGTGGAAAATTCCCTTTCTGCTGTGTCGCCTCCCCCATGCTAAGGTAAAGTCATTGTTTGCATGTGAAAGCCCTCATTCCCGACAGGATTCTGTCAGGCTAGGAGAAAATGCCTCTTTCTGGGAAGAAGTTGCGTTGGGTAAGTTCGGAGGGCTTGAGGGTTAGGTAGTGGTGGTCACTCAGAGATTGGGGAACAAGCCTTGTTTGAGGAACAAGCCTTGGATGTCTGATTCATAGGACATGGTGAGAGAGGAAAACGGTGACCAGACTATGGTGATGAAACGATGTGTAGGAGGGAGGCCTGGGGTCCTCCTGCCGCCTCCGCCCAGGCTCCTCCAGGCACCCGGGCCCTGTGTTCATGCTTGCTGGTGGTGAGAGGTGCTAAGGAAGCCGTGGGCCCCACTACCCCGCTCCGCCCTTCAGGTTTCTCCACTTAGGCTCAACCCCTAACATCTGTGTCCGCCAACTCCAGCAGGCCCGGCATGTACCCTTGGGGAACCAGCAGGCGGGCAAAATGCCCTGCCACCCCAGGTAGGCCCTTCTGAGCCAGAGGCTGGAGCGGTGTCACTGGTGCTTGGTGGCCCTGCCTCTGCCGAGGCCCACAGTCTTGGGCAACAGAAATGTCAGGCGATGTGATAAACTGACCCTGACTGTCTGTTTGCTTATTTACTTCTCTTCACAGGCAGCTTGGTTTCTGTTACTGCTTCCTACAGGCTGTGTGGTGATCCCACAGACAGGAAGGCCTCCCTTCACTCTTGTAGGCCTCTGGCCAGAGGCCTTGGCAACAAGGCTGAACACAGTCAATTTGGGGCTGTGGCGTGGGGAACATTCTGGGCCCTCACTCAAGGCCACAGGGCTGGGGAAACCTTGCTCTGAGCTGATCCCTTTCTGCTGTGGGGCTCCAGGCATAACACATCAGCCAACACCCCGTGGACACTGGCACCTGTCTCCTGACCTAGGAGAGCAGTGCTTACCCGGACCCACTGTCCCCAGCATCCTACTTGCTTTTCCAGCTTACTCAGGGGAGCCAGGGGGCCCGGCAGGAAATGACGGGGGCACCGGAGGGGCGACAGAGATGCTGAGTGGGACTCGCTGAGCTTGCTGGCTGGCACATGAGGCTGGAGCTTATGAGAGACCAGAAGCCACAGGGGAGCGATAGGAGGAGCCACGCATGTGCTGGTTCCCCAGCGACCACCACCACCACAGAGGACCAGAGAAATGAACTGGCACGCAGGACTATGGAGGATTAAAGCTAAACACCTAGACTTGGCAGCAGAGGCCTGTCATCCCGGCACTCTGGGAGGCTGAGGCAGAAGGATGGCAAGTTTGAGTCCAGCCAGGACAACTGAACAACCTAGTGAGACTCAGATTTTAAAAATGCCAGAAAGGGCTAGTGATGAAGCTTGACGCAAAGACCCTAGCTTCAACCCCAAGTACTGTAAAAAAAAGAAAGACAAAAGAAAGAAAGAAAGAAAGAAAGGAAACAGCTAAGTAAGGACAAAAAACAAAAACAAACAAACCAAAAGCATCAAAAAGCAAATGGGGCCAAATAACACCTCACGGAATCTAAGCGTTCCTTCCTTACCAGAAGTCAGCCTCTCATCAATAGCAACTGTCTTGCTCCTCAGCACCTCTTTCTCGGCTGCCTGCAGGGCTGGGGGCTGCTTTAAATCAGTGCCAGCCTTGACCTCTGCTTGGCAGCTGAGAACACCAAGGCCCAGGGAAGCAGCCTCTTCTGGCTGACTTAGCCCTCCTTACACACTGACAAACCCAGCAGTGGCTCCTTGAGTCACAGTTGTGTGACACTGTCACAGTCTGACCATCTGGGTGCTTTCCTGGTGAGGAAGGGCTGGAGGATTTACCTGAATTCTCTTCCTTGTGTGATTTCCCGGGAAGAACCCAGCCTGCGCCCTGGAGACCCGGGCTCTCTGGTCCTGGTTCTACTGCCCGTTAACTAGCTGTGTGATGGTAATGAGCCACCTCTTCCTACCTGTCCTGGTCATCGGGCCCTGGCCTCTGTCATCTCTGCACTCTCACAATTTCCACCTTTGCAGGGACACCTGCCTTTCCACTTAGCCATCTGCTCAGTTCTGTGTTTATCTCTTCCTTCTTCTTGCTGGTTCCTGTAAAGAGGACACTCAGAGACTACAGGAAGAAATGTGTCCCCAGGTCTCCGTCACCTTTGACAATGTAAAGGTGCAACAATATGCATGCAAAATATAATTTTTAATACAATCTGGTTTTGCTGCTGGCAAATTTTCATGCCGTTTGGCTGACTGTTTAAATCCACTGCAGATAATCTGCAAGGTACACTGGAGCAAGTGTACGACAGACAGCAAGGTGACTGTCATCAAAACGACCTACTGTCACCCCGAGTTCTCTCACATACATCTACAAAGAACCTGCACACCAGTGTCACACCCACACAGTGGCCTCCCATAAGTGACATTAAAAAAACCTCAATCTCCTGAAAAAATTCATGAAATAGTTTCAGTACACATGAACAGAGCACGCGTTTGTGTTCAGTGAAACTTCTTTGATGGTGCCTGTTCAAATATCGGCAAATATTATGAAAACACCCACAGACATCATCCTCAGTTACTGTGGTCACGTGGGATGCAGAAATCAACAGGGAAGAACAAAACACCGAACGTTGTGCATATTCTGGGACATCATAGATGGTCCCAAGCCCAAAATGATAGCTTCTAACCAAGTGTGCTAGAGAGGCCAGCCCAGTACAGCAGGCAAGGCGGGCAGGACAGACTGCGAGAGGAGTGGAAACACATCCCCCTGAAAAGCAATTGGACATAAAGATGTGAGGGCCTGGGTCCCTCTTCAAGCCTCTTCAAGGCTGCTTCAAGGTCACAGAAGATCAACTCATACTGGGAAGAAATCACCTGGGGAAGAAATGGAGCCCAGGGCAGGGAATAGAGAGCTGATTGTGGGAATCCCAGAGACAACAATAATGTTCATGCAGCTGGATTTCTGTCTTGCCAAACTGGAGTACTACACACCCAGCACTGATGAAGCCCCAGACTGGGAATCAGTACCCCTTCTTTATTATAAAATTAACATCACTGAAAGCTTTAAAAAAGTGGCAGACCAAAAATATCACACCTCAGGCAAATGAGTTGAAAATCTCTCACAGCAAAATCTTGTTTTTTCCACTCATCTCTCAAGTCAGGGGACACCTGGTAAAGAAGCTGGTGTTTAGGTAAAGAAACGCGATTCCTGGTGCGCGCGGTTTCCTGATGGTACCGGGTGGAAGTGACATCATGGAAACACATGTGCCTCAAGGTCAGTCTGTACAGTTGTGGGGTGAAAACAGGAGTCTTAGTCATCAATGGAAAAGTGTGCGTGCGTGTGCCTGCGTGCGTACGTGTGTGTGAGTGCATTCTGTGATCTGCTGCTAGCTGCTCTCTGCTTCCCAAGATGAAGTTTGAATCAAGTTTGTGCGGCCTGATTGCCAGGTTTTCCCACACACTCAGCTCCGCTAAATGCACAACCTCAGCGTAGGCTGCTCCACACCGCCTTGGCTTGTGCCATTTGGAAGGAAAGAAAATGATTGCTACTGAGAAGAAAGGAAGTTTGTCTTCCACTCCTGGGCAAGGAACTTATGACATAAGATGCCCATCCCAGTGGTTAATACGAACAGTCTCGTTTGTATAGCGTTCCCCATGGTGACACAAGTGAGCATGTGGCAGCCTCTGCATGTAGGGACTCCTTTGTCTTAATTAAAAGTATTGTGGGAGACATGGAATTTGGCTGAGCCTCATAAATCTGCTAAAAGAATCAAAACTGTCAGATAAGTTTAAATAGAACCAACCGGGCCCTCTGGAGAATCCCGGAGATTTCCTGCTAGTAGTTGACACCCACTTTCCTGTCACTTCTGCCCTCCACGGATGGCGACTGCGCTCATTAACCGGTAACCCTCCCCACCCGCGGATGACAAGGATGTCCCCGCGGAGTGCGGGACTCAGACATGATAAATTTACTCCCGCTTGTAAAAAGGGAACTCTCCTCAGGGCAATAAAAATGCTGGGAGGCTTTAAGGAAATAAGTAGTTTATCTGATAACCTACCTTCGTTAGCAAAGCCTGGTCCTCCAGGTCCGGACGGCTTCTCAGCACCAGGGAGAACTGCTCCAGAGAAACTGCCTGGGAAGAAACGAGCCCTGAGCTGAGCAACCTCCTTCAGTCCCGAGCCCGCCCGCTGGGCAGGAGAACCTTGTGGTTGTGATGGATGCGAGGGTACACCGGCCCTCCTATCTTGGTGACACAGAAGAGCCACCTGCCTGCCCCCTGCATGGTACAGGGCCCACAGAGTGACTTTTCTGCCTGGTCAGCTGGGAAGATTGCAGAGCACAAGGCCATCTGCAAATCAGAGGTCCAAGGTTCAGCTGCCACCTGGGCCTTTGGTCCCCGGAGCCCAGCCTCCCTCCTGGTTCCTGTGATTACATGGAGGGCACCCCGCCTGCCTCTGTACACGCGGGGGTGCTAAGCTTCTCCATCTTCATCATGATTTCCATGGCTCTAACTCTTCTCCTGGTGGCTACATGATAGGGTCCCAGGGGTGACTCAAACAAGCCCCGGGAGCTCCCTAAAAACATATCATCTTCCCCACATCAGCCTCTGCCAGTGGAAGGATGGAGGGGAATCCAAGAAGCTTTACCAAAAAGCATTTTCACGATCCACTGAAACTGGCCAGGAAAGCGCTGGAACTGAATCTAGATAATTTCCATGCATCTCCTCCTCTTCTCTATCTCTGCACTGTTTTTCCTTTGGCCTAAATAAGCATCAAAATACACCGCCTCACCTGGATGCTGTTTTAACTAAATTACTCTGCTCTTTAATATGTGCCCACCTTTCCCCACCACCCTCAGAGTTAAAATAAGCTCTCGCTGTTAACCTTATTGCTAGACTCAGCACAGGGTTCTGCTCTACCCATTAGGACCCTTCACAGCCCTTCTGCTGGTGACAGTCCCAGCTCTTGCCTATGAGGAGGACTGGAATAAGCCCTGCCTTTGAAGGCCACAGACTGTCCCATCCTGCCTTGCAAAGCCACTGAGCACGCTGCTCCCTTCCCCACCTCCACAGACCCTGAGCTCAACAAGGTCACTTTGTTTTAGTGCCCCAGGGACAGTTCCATTCCCCTGTGTTGATTCCCCTCCCAAATATCTGAATGTCATGCCAACAATTGCAGACATTTTAAAAGAGAATTCCATTAGCAATACTGAATTCTCATCATGAGAACACTGTATGGCTAATTTTGTGTATTTTTTAGGGTTACCTAATAAAACATTTCTACATCGAAATATTTGCTCTTATCCAAATGTGGGATCCAAATGTGCTCAGTAGAAACCTAGAGTGGCCCCTGACATGTTGCCTCCAATGTAGATGTGTACCCAGGCTTCGACCAGTTAGAGACGCGGTAATTACAGACAGTCTTAGTCTCTTTACGCTGCTATAACAGAATACCGCAAGCTGGGCCTTTAAGAGGACATTTATCTCCGGTCTGGAGACTGGAAGTCCAAGACCAATGCACCACCAGTGTGGTCTGGCAAGGGCCTTCTTGCTGAGTTCTCCAGGGGCAGGAGGCAGAAGGGCCAGCGAGCTGCGTGAAGTCTGTTTTATCAGGGTCATACTCCCATCTATGAGAAAGGGGCCTGCATGGCCGGATTACCTCTTAGCAGTATTGCATGGACATCTAAAGTTTGGAGGGACACAGTCAAACCATAGCACATAGAATATTCCATTTAATATTTTTGTTGGTGTTGTTATTTTATTTCTTCCCATTTAATTTGTTAAAAGGGGGTCAACAGAAGCCTGCAGGGATAAGAACCCAGGCCATGTAGAGTCATACAAGGAATGTGTCCTCATCCATCCCAAAGGCACCCATGTGGACCCCAGAGGCAGGCGCTCTCTCACCAGCTCGGTCATCAGCTCTGGTTTGGACTTCTGCGCCCACTTGATTTGGTGTGATGACACTCTGACCTCTATCATCCCAGGGTGAATAGAGAACAATCCACAAGTTGTGGTGCCAGGCTTTCTTTGCATCATCTTTTTAAAGGTAGCTTTTTTATTTGGTAGAGTTTATGCACTGACACACTCTTGATGCAGTTTGTGGAAATCAAGGCACTTACTACTCAGCTCCTTGGAGACTATTTGATTTTTGACTTCAGTCCTTTCTCTGTGGTGCCTGCACATTTACGCCCCTAACTGCCTGTGCATTGGACTCCACTGTGACATTTTAATTTGTCCCCAAGACATTGCACGTATCCTGATCAAGTTGCCTTGAGCTCCCTAAGTCCAGGAGGCTTCCATATAGAGCCAACCCTTGCCACACCATCCCCTTCCTGTGGGACTGTCACCCCCCAGCCACCAAGCTTTCCAGGCCCAAACTCTGCTTCTTTATTCACATCCCAAGTGGCCCGCTCACTGCATTCCTCCCACAGTTGTCACTTGGACTCCTGCAGACCTGCCTCACTCGATCCCAGCCTCAGGGTTCACCCTCCCTTCTGGTCGCCTTGTCCTCTTCTCCCCCATAGCAGACCCCGCATTCTCCAAGCTCCTGTGCTCATGCTGTGCCCTTCCCTCTGCTGTCTCCGGCTTAGCACCTTTCCCTGGTGCAAAGGGACAGCTCCCCACTGCCATTATTCCAGGGTCCCGTGCCTGGCCACATGGTCCCCTCCCCATCACCCTCCCTTTCCCTGGATCTGACCCCTCTCTGGGGCCAGCAGCTCAGCAGCTCAGTGTCTTAACCCTGCTTCCACTGGCCCCCGCTGAGTCTCAGTTTCTACTCCAGGCACACGCAGAGGTGGTGCTTGGCCCCTGGAGTGCGCCTGGAGACCGAGGGAGAGGCGGGGTGTAAACTGAGGGCGAAGTGGGCATGCCACTGGGTAGGTTCTAGGAAGCTCTCTCCAGCTCTGCCTTGTCAAGCTGAAGTCCTCCCCGACTGGTGTCTCAGCATGCCACACTGCCTGTTCGGCTTTTCTTTTTTGGATTGGCCTTTGAGTCTTAGGCATACATGCTGGCCTTGCGCCTGAGTGGGCCAAGGAGACAGGCCTGCCTCTTGGCCTGGACTGTCCTGTCTCTGTCATGTCCAAGGTGAGCAAAGCCCAGACACCACCTGAGCAACCAGCCTGAAGCGCACCTGTGGGAGCCCAGGACCACACTGAAGATGACTTGGGTTGTCCCCTCAGGGCTGGCCATTGCACAGGATGAGCCCCTAGGGCCCCTTCTTCACAGATGACATCAGCCAGCCCTGCAGGTGGAGGCCAGCGGAGCGGAACATTAGATGTCAGTGTGACAGGCGCCCTTAGACGGGCAGTGGACTCGTCCTTCCCACTCCTGACCCCACTCCTACTGAATCCCACAGAGGAAAGGGAGAGCATGCACACTGCTGGCCATCCCTCCAACACCTCTATGCAGCCACTTCTCCAGGCTCTGTCTTCACCCACAGCTGGGACAGAGAAGCGTCACCTTCTGGTATGAACAAGTTGATGTTTCGTGTCCACCCTCCTTCTCCTCACCTTTCATATTGGAAAAAAAAAATACCTCTCAGAATGAAAGCATTTGTGGTATCAGCTTTCCTCCACCTCTGTGGCTGGTGCAAGGGGCTGGCTCTCTAATGAGAATAAGACAACATATTCCAGTGAGCCATGCATACACGTGTTTATAACAGCACAACTCACAACTGCTAAACCCTGGAAGCAGCCTATATGTCCACAAACAGATGATTGGATTAAAAAAATATAGTATTTACACAGTGGAGCACTACTCTGCCATAAAGAAGTATAAACTTGAGCCATTTGTAGGAAAGTGGGTGCGTTTTGGGAAGTAATGTTAAATGAAATAAACCAAACCCCATGCTTATATAACACATGGTTTGTCTTATATAAGACCGAACATATAATTAAATTGAAGACCAAAATAAAAGGCAGGTCAGGGCTGGCTGGGGATTTAGCTCAGCAGCGTAAGCACCTGCCTTGCAAGCAGTTGGTCGTGAGTTCAATCCCTGGTACCGATTTAAAAAAAAAAAAAAGGCAGGTAGTAGGAAACAGAGAAACAAATCTTTTGCAAATGGAGAAGGGGACCAAGAGATGGAGGCAGAGGAGGAAAAGAAAGAGACACAAACAAGAATTAAGCCGCGTCGTGTACCTGGACCAGCTCCCTGCAATGATTGCAGTTATTATGTACTGCAAACTCGTGGTAATAAAAACAAAAATTTGAAAATAAAGAGAACAGGACAAGCTGAAAAATAAGTGCCTGTGAAGTGCGAGGTCCCCCCAAGCCAGGAGGGGGGTGATTTTCCCTCAGCGACTCCACACACTGTCTTTCCCTCAACGCCACACTCGGTGTCTTCCCTGCTGGTGTGTCTGGTGCCGTCAGCAGGGGCCTCGCCCAGCCGTGAGCCTCCAGTTACCTTCTTCCCGCCCTCCCAACCCAGCGTCCCAGCTCCCTGCACAGAAAGGGCCTGACAAGACAGGAACGAGAGAGCTTGTGGTGGGCGGGCGAGAAGGCGAGGGGGAAGCATAGAGGGGGAAAAGACCTAAGTTAAGCAAAAAAGAAAGGAAAAACAAGTCATTTGGGGGAGAAAAATACAGACCACCATTAAACACGTGCTTCCCCTTCTGACTAAGAGCTGCAACGGTAGCTGGTCACCCTGCCCGGCCGCCTCCTCCATGCCACTTCTGCCTGGGAGATAGGATCTTGCAGAATGGCAGATGCCTGTGACCAAAGGAAGTGGCTGCCCAGGAATCAATTTCATTCTGACATGTTGCAAATCAGGGGAGCAAACACCACAAACCGAACACACAATACCGCTGTGCTTACTGGCTAGCGCCTCTCCAGGGATGGTGAGACTGGACTCTCTTGATCCACACACAGGACCCACAGGGACTGTCTGCCTCAGAAATTCCATCTCAAAATCTCCGTGCAGGGGCGCTGGATGACCGGCCCTGCTCCAGAGCTGACCAGCAGAGTCCCCTGCTCTGGCACTTTTCCCACTGTATCTTACTGTTGGGGATGCTGGGGAGCCCACATGCAGTCTTCACCCCACTTCCCCAGGGGACCTAATGCCCCGGCTTTCCAAGCCCAAATACCTTGAGTCTGTTTCCTACAAGGTGCTGCTGCTGGGAGTTGCAAGGACAGGTGGCCAGGGGTGGGACAGGTGTGGAAGAAGGGGCCAGTTGGAGCAGGGGAGCTGCTGCCCCATGCTGCAGAGTTCCCCCAACTCTGAGGATGTGAAATTGGAGCCTGGCCTTGCGGATGAATGAAGTTATGCACACCCACCAGGCAGGAAGGCAAGGCTACCTTCTCCAGTCTCTCCAGCTCACCGTGCTCTCTTGTCTGGTCCCACAGGGTACAGGTGAACTCCTGTTAGAACAGGAAGCCCTGGTCCTGCAACATACCTCACTCTGCCCCTTCAAGAGCCAGGCCATTGTCTCCATCCTTAGGGAGGGACACTGTGCGGCTGCATGAGGACATACGGTTCACCTTTCCTGCCTACAGTGGAGACGAGGGAGCCACCAGCCTCCTCTCCGGGGGGACAGAAATATGTGAACCATCTGCCCTTAACAGATGGGCCCTTGCCAGGAGCAGGGCTGAGCATCTTGAGGCCAGCAGCCTCTGTGGGAGCAAGATCCTGTGCCACCCTGGATGGGGGGTGTCTACCTCTGCCCACAGCTTCTTCCCGAAAGCCTGGATCTCCTCATTATGAATGCTCTCCACTGATTCTGCAGCATGAGGTGTGTCGCGGTGGTCACTGCCCTCTATTCCTCTCTGCTTGCCTGTGTGTGACAGCGGTGCTTCACCTCATGTTGCAGGACTGCCTGTCACTGTGCCAGGCCCTGAAGTCCCCCACCCACCTCTTCACAACCTAACAGGGAAATGGAGATGGGTGGAGAGTTTGTTTTGCAGAAAACAACAAAAAAAAGAAACAAAAAAAACTCCATCAAGCTATGTTTTCAAAATTAAAGCAGAGGACGAGCAGGGCCATCTAACTCCTTGGTGGCAGGAGTCATGGCAAATCTGGCATCCTGCAGTGAGACTTAGTGGCAAGTGTGGAGGGGACCCTCAGGGGAACTCTAGGCGTGGGCGAAGGCCATGGCTCACTGGCCCATCCCTCAGCCTACTCTGTCCCCAGCTCACACTTTCTGTTCTGGAGAGCAGTGGAGCATGGCCTGTGTGGCCCTTGTCTCTCTGTCCCCACATCTGGGAGCCCACAGGAGCAGCAGGTGCCCCTTCATGGCACACAAACCCTCGATCTCAAGGAGGTTTTGCCATGTGATCTCAGCTCCCACTGAGGGGGGCCTCCAGGAGCATAGCTGTGGGGCCTTTGATTCTCTGGGGTGAGACCTCCTTTCTGCTCCAATGCTACCAGATCTTTGTCCTCTGGCTTGCTGGCCACATCTGCTTGCATTGCTACCCCTGAATGTATTTTATAAAGCACTGTGTTTCCTGAAGCCAAAAATGTCTGCTTCCTTCTGGGTGTGAGAGTCCTGCTTGTCCAGCTTGGCCTTTTCCTGCTCTTGCTACTGCTGCCCAGCCAGGCCCAGTGCTGCAAAGCATCATCCAGCACTCTGTGCCCACCTGGCCCGCCTTTCCTCTCTTGTCACCTCAATATTGTTTCCTGGACTCCCCACCGCCTGCCTACCCTTCCCTTCGCACAATGCAGGACCATTGGCTTCTCTGAACAAGCCTTTCATGCCGTCCTCTTCCCAAAATTCATCTCAACTTCGGGCTCCTATGCATTCTTCAAGACCCCTACCTATAAGTCTTCGATCAGGCCATCTGGAGTCCTATGATTGCAGGCAGGGGTCCCTCTCATGGGCTCGACATATCCTCTATGGAGGAGGACTCTTGTCTCACACCTTAATCCGTCTCCTAGGTTGGAAAGTGTCACTGTCTTCTGATCATCTGAACCCAAAGTCTTCTAAATAGGAGGTTGGAAAATGTTACAAGCAAATGGACTAACAGGGCTCTTCCCCCACTCCCGCGCAGCCTGCAAGAAGGCAGATGTGCCACTGGGCAGGCTGGCACAGTTTGGCAGCTCCCTGAGAAGGGGATGGTAACGGGGTCTCGCTGACATCCTGGAAGCCTTGACCCAGCTGGAGGCAGGAGAGTGAGGTGTGGATAAGCGGCTGCCAAGTCCTGGATGTGAGAGGGGTTGGGGGCGTCGGAAGGACCTAAGGGAGAAGCACACAGGGTGCTGCACCCCAACATGCATCTTCCTCCTTAGGGTGTCTTCCTGCTGAGAGATTGCTAAGGAGCGCCATCTGGGTCTCAGGCTCAGGCACAGTCCCCCACTTCCTCCCAGAGTCAGTCCGGAGCAGACGAGGCCATTCCCTTTGGTGGCTTCCCAAGGCACCCTTGGGTGGCAGCCTAAGGCAGCCCAGCGGTGGCCAGGATTACTATATCTTCTCCCAAGCAAGGTCACCGTCAGCTGGTGAGTCTTCCGTCTGCAAAGCTCCTCACCCCAGTCTGGAAAGTTGACTCCCACGGTGACACTCCTGAGGGCCCCTCCCCACCCATCCAGGGAACAGGAGCCAGCAGTTTTGGAAAACCACGAGCTGTGGACTTGGTGTAGATTTAAAATAAGAAAGGGCATCAGCACAGCTGGAAAAGCTTCCGAAAGCCCCAGCCAGGCCCTGCCTCTCCCCAGGCTCCCTACTGACTCCCCCCGGGTGGGACACACAGGCCTTGTGAGACCTTGACGCTTACATTACGTGGGTCCTGCACCCCAGTTGCACCCAGGCCCACACCCCAGCCACAGCAGCCACTGTGCCCTCCAGGCCTGCCTTCTTGCTCTTCCCTCTGCTTGTAATGTCCAGTTCACTTCCACCACACAGGTGACTCCCGCCTACCCTTGAAAAGCAAAGTTTCAGGTGCTGCTGGCGTCACCCAGGCCTCTTGGGAGTGGCAAGCACTTTGTGTTTCCCCTGATGTGTGTCCCTTTTGTGTTCTGCTAGAATACCTGGTGCAGGACAGCTCTTGTCCTGGAGCTGCTACTGTTCATGGGGAACTGGGGCAATTTCTTATGGGATCATTTAGACCCAGAACTAAGCACGGTCCCTGGCGCACAGCAGGTCTCAGACAAATGCCCATGGACTGCAGGTGGGAAACCTCAGGAGTGACCAAGGCTGTTCCTGAAGGCCAGCTGTGCATGCGGGGCCCACTCTGTGGCTTAAAGGCTATTTCTTCAGACAGCAAGGGTGTTAAAGTCTTTGCTGCTCCAGGATGTCCTGCTGACTTGGTCCCACTGTCTGAGGCCACACCTTAGTCCCTTCCTTGGGACCAATGCTGATGCCAAGCCTCTTGCAAAAGGAAAGACTAGAGCTAACTAAGGTTGGCTGCTCACAGATGCACTGGCCCCGTGCAGCTGGGGACCCAGGTATTTTCCAACCAAATCAAAGCATCTCCTTGAAATATCTCTTTGCAGCAATTATCAGGAAAGCTCAGCTGAGTGCCCACAGCTCTGGAATGGGTTTGCTCACAGCTGAAGAACAATAAAATACACATGGGGCTGGAATCTCTGATATTCACTGCATGACATTATTTCCCTGCCACGTTATGCTGATTTTTGCCTTGCGATCACACATTTTGATTCCTCAGTCCACAGTAAGAACAGGTCAGAGGCCGTCTCTCTATGTAAGTCCTTCTTGCCTCACTGCAGGACACAGGGGAATTTGCACATTGATTAATAAAACACAGAGGGGTTTCTTGATTTTTCAAGCTGCTCATTAGGAGAGTATTTCTGAGTGGTTTTCAGTGGGGTTTGTATATATAGAAACCAAGGTAGTTTCTCTAATTTCTAGTTATATTGATGTTAAGTGAAATTTCCCCATCAAGTCTTCAATATCCACTTTGCTACACCAGATCAGGGGTTCTCAGTAGATGAGAGCAAACTATTGGTGGAAACCTCACTTTTAGTTACCTTGTAATCTTTTTTCTTATTTAATACTCTATGTCACTTTTGGCAGATATCAAAACTTGTCAAATGATTAGATCTGAGCACAAAGCTTCTTTTCTCCCTTTTCAGTTCTCATGTTTCTGAATAAGAGGCATCATTGCTGAGTTAGTAGAGCATTATGTTTTCTTTGCAAATAAAATCTCCTAAGTCATAAGCAAGGAGAGGGGTAAATTCATAGTGAGGAGACACAGCACTATTTTCCTCCCTGGCATTTGGGATCTATGATAAGTTTAAAATGATGTTTTTATCTCTGGTGATTTATCAAACTTGAGATTGCATGAAAGATAAACAGATGCACTGAAGAAAGAATACATCATCCTAATGCTTTGGTTTGACACTTTAGGTATCTAAAAAGCACGTATCCTAAGGAGCTCTCTTCTGAAACCTTAGCAGTTTCCATGATTTACACGTTTAATTCTTGTTTTTAAGACACACTGAAGTGAGAAACAGGCCAGGAGGCACTGTTTAAGAAAATGGTCACATTAGAAACGTACAGATTATTTATAGAAGAAAAACTCAAGAGCTGAAAGAAAATCTGGTTGTCAACAGACAGTTGCTTTTTCTGTGTGTGTTTTTTTTCTGTAGTTCATTTTGGTTTTTGTGTGGGTGGCTCATGTGAACTCAAAGGTGGTTTGCTAAATGTTTTTGAGATTAGAACATGTCCTTTAAAGCCCAAATTTAAATTGATGTTTATATTGCAAACATGTTTAATTTTATAAAGTGTGGTATGGGAGTTTAAAAAATATATAAAATCATACCCAGTGTTGCCATGATAAGAGTCCTAAATTTTTATTTTTATTAACAACATGGATGATTTTGTTCTTAAGCCTAATTTCCTAATTGAAAACTCACAATATACAGTTACTCAGTACAAACTGAGCTTTTTTCTTTACTTTGATATCATCTTTACTTTTGTCCATCTGTGTGGGTACAAATCTAACCTTATTTTGAAATAGTGAAGGTGACAGAAGATGGAAATTCAGCTGAGGAGGCTGAGCAGAGCTTTGCATCTCATCGTGCCAGGACAGTTATTTTTTAATCCCGGAGAGGGAAACAAAGGAACCAAAGCCCACTTAAAAAGTGGAAAGAGCTTATTTTTCTCACCTTTGTAGCAACGCTGAGCTGTCAGATTTCCGATGCAGGCCCTGCTCTGTGGGCAGCAGTCTCCTGGGGTTTGAATCTTCCCCTGGCTCTGGTAGCTGTTGTGACTTTCAGCAATTTCTTCACCTCTCGGTGCTTCTGTTTCCTCGGTGGGCTTTGTGAGGTTGCCCTGGAACAGTAAATTCAACAAGTCACAACCACCACTCTCGGCATGGTTTCTGGCCCAGAAACAATGCCCATGTAAAGATCACTGTGATCATTACACTCTGCCAAGGTGGTAAGCCCGGAAGGTAAGGGACATCTCATTAGCACCTGGGCCCACTCCAGCAGCGCTGTTCCGTCCTCTAAGGGCTCCCACAGAACAACATCTTTGGGAGTCGGACTCTGCTCATTTTTCCTTTCCTTCTTCCCAGAGCGACACAGTCTTTGGGTCCTTTGGGATCAGATTGCCTTCCAATGGTCACTTCCCTCAAAGGCGAGTGAACCACAGGCTCTCAGCACAGCTGTCCCTAGGGACAGGCTCCCGAGTGCTGGAGGGACCTGGGGCTCTTTGGGTCTTTAGGAAACAGCATGTGGAGTTTTTGGACCCTGCAGTCCCCAATCTCAAGATCACCATGCAGCCATGGAGGGAGGGCTAGGCTTGTAGAAGGAAATCCCAGCTGCAGGTGCATGGTACTGGACAAAGGCTCTTCTCTGGGGATGCTCTGGTTACTCAATTCCCCATGAGGAGAGACCATGGATGTCATAAAATACAGGGCACTCTGTGATCTTCTTTTCCTCTGTGTCTATCTGGTTTGCACAAAATTAAACTCGATTTGGTAAACTTGCTGGCCCTGCCAAATCTAAGTGCTAGAGACTGTTCAACATTTTCATTTCAAACGTAGTTTTCCCTAGTCTACAGGTGGCAAAAGGACACTGATGCCAGGAGGCCTTTTCTATTTGTTCCTAATAAAAATGGCTCAATTCTGAGTTCATTTCCATCTGGGGTGACATTAAGTGAAGGGACACCTCAACTCCTGTCCTTTTCTTCTTCATCTTCTCTGAAGAGCAACTCTTTGTGTCACACAAAGCGCATCGTGCTTCTACTGAAGGAGGCCTCCAGGTCCACAGGCACCTCGGCTCAGCTCCACATGCACGCCTCTGCTGAAGCATTGCTGCAGTGTAATCAAATGTCCAGTTGTCCTCTCACATGTCACTTCCTAGGCTTCCCAGACTTCAAGGATGAGCGGCCCAGAGGCCTGTGGGCCTATGCAAATGTTCACCCAGCTGCTCCTGGCCACTGAGACAGGATGAAATGGTGATGCTCATTCCCAGAGACCCCTTCTGTTCACAGGAGCTGTCCTCAGGGCACAGGATTCAGCCCTGTGTCTGGGACAGACAAAACAAAGGCGGGCTTTCGCTCCCCTCCCCAGGGCTGGGGCCTCCAGATGCTGGTCTGCTAGGATCCCACAGTGGATTTTATCTGCCTGTTCTTGGTCCCCCTGGGCCTGGCTGGCTTCCATACCCACATGTTTAATGGAACCTGGCCAAAGAGAGAGGTCAGTGGCCAGGGCAGAGTACTGGGACTCACCCTTTCCCTCAGACACAAGGAACCACTCTAAAACTTGTCCCACCAGAGAAAGGTCACCATCAGGAAGGAAAGCATGCTTGTCACAGCAGATGGGGTCCTCTGCATCTCCCCTCTGACCGCACCCCACACGTCTCCATCACTAACCATGCAACACTGCAGAAACCTGTTTATAAAGCATATGGTATGTTCCCTGGCAGCCTCTGCTCCCACCCCTCATTGATTTACCCCTCAGCTGGGAGGACCTGGGGTCAGGAGTGACTTTAACAGTGTTTAAAGGTCTAAAAAAATACCCAGATCCACACAGGACTTCCGGTTAGAGCTGAGGCACTTTGAGTTTCTGAGCTTGCATAATGTAATGCAAATTCAAGCAGGTGGTAAGTACATTTCCATAATTTCGTAGAAGACAAATGCCAAAGCTAAAATAAGGTGAATGTGGTTTGTACAAAGGATAACGCTATTAGTGAACGGGAGGGGAAAAGCTGATCCCATAAAGAATATTGGAACAGGCACTAATGGATAAAATATAGGAGTAATGTTTTAATAATGCATGTGACCATGTTTTTATTACCAAAGAAAGTCTCATTTCTAAACACACAGATCCTTGAGAGGAGTCTGAAATTAATCGTCACCAGGCTGAGCTCCACGCCATTATATATTCTAATTATAATTACAACCTGCTCCCAAAGTGAATATTCTAAATTATTAGGCATTTTATTAAGACCAAAAAGAGACTTCCTGAAGTATAATGAGACTGACTCCCCAGCTATGAGAACGAGGAAAGCAAGAAACTATTTTGCATGGGGCTGGAAAATGGTGGGTGCCATTTATTTAGTAAAAAGTGCTTAGTTTCTTCTTCTTCTTCTTTTTTTTTCCTTAGGTATTGCTACATCCTTAGGGGCCCAGAGCTTCAGAGCTGCTATTTCTAGGGCAAGATAAAAATGTGTATCACAGAAAAAAATAACAATTTATCACTGTAATGGCTCCATCCCACTAGAGAAACCACCAGAGACTGCTTAACATTTTTATTTCGAACAGGGTTTTCCCCAGTCTTCAGGTGACAGAGGGATACTGATGCCAGGAGGCTTTTTTCTGTGAGTTCCTAATAATTAAAAAAATGGCTCAATTCTGAGTTCACTTCCTTCTGGGGCGACGTTAGGGTCTTGTGAGGGCTCTTCTTCCCGTCTCCAAAGGCCTTATCTGGGCCCCGGGCCCTGAGGACAGATGGGCTCTTTGGCGCCTTCCCCCGTCCCTGGAGACCTCTTCCAGCAGTGCAGAGACTGGATTCCTCCTGAGCTGGAGGTGCTCAGCGTGCCTGGTCCTCAGCTCCGTGTGTGTCTGCCCGAGCTCCTCAGGATGGACGGAAATGTCCCTGGACTGATTAAACGCTATCACTGGACTTACTCTTTTTCTTCCAATCTAAATACTCTTCATCTGACCTTGAACCTAAGGCTGGTTTCCAATCACTTTGCTAGTGTGGTTATTCACCAATAAGAGGCTCAGAATCAATCTGGATTTCTTTTGTGCTGTGGTGACATCACGTTCTTCATATTTCCTCCTGGGGGTTAAGACCTCAAACATCAAGACATCACCTAGTAATCGTTCCTCTTCTTCCTTCTTAAAGGGTCAGTTCGACATGCTGTACCCGGGTTCTGGAAATTAAGGTTTCGAGGAGTATCACTCACCAGTCATATTTCTAAAGGATTAATCACTAACTCTGAGTCAGATGGCTCACCAGGGACCTCGGAGATCGTCCAACAGCCCCAAGAGACAAACACCATTCCGTAAATGGGGGTGCAGGTGAAGCTCAGAGAAGCTGAGTAACTCACCCAGTCACACAGACAGTAGAGGCAGCAACAGGATTTGAACCCAGAACCCACGTTCTCAGTCTTCACACTGTGCTCAGCGTGCACTCAACAGACAGAGACCTGGAGGCTAAACTGCTGTGTTTCTAAGGTGAAGGCCAGTGTGCAGCGAGCCTCTTGACCCAACCCTTTCTCAAACAGAACCACATCTCTGAGCAGGTAGAAGCTATTTCCCTCGAGTCCATAGAGTTGGACCTCAAGTCCTAGGATGGGCAATACCTGTGGTCCTCACACAGGGGTCCACAGGGAGAACCTCAGGGCCTGAGCCTCTGGATCCCTGGAGGGAAGCCAGCAGTGGTCCATACACAAGGACAAAAGGCCAGGGTGTCTCTGCCTTCAACAGAGATGTATGTCTTGGGTGCTACTTCAAATCCCAGGTGTTTCAACCTAATCAGCAAATAGGAGTGATCCTCTGAAGGACAAGGGCTATTTGCATAACTGCCAAGGACATCAGGATGGTTTAGTGACATAGCCAGCCTGTGTGCCCCAGGATCCCTGCTGGATCATAGTGGATATTCAGAGCCCTAGCCGGGCCGGAGGGTGTGAGCTATGCAGACAAGGTAATCTGCTGCAGTATCTGGATTGTCATTTAGTTCTCCCATTGAAGGTCACCCGCAGAAGAGACAAAGTATATGCAGATGATTTGGGAGTTGGATTTTGACTTGCATAAGCGATTCTGGTTTATGTAGCAGTGATTGCTAAGTTCTGTTAAGATGACTCAGTTTCCCTCAGCCTGACAAACTGTAGTGTTCAGGTCTTCAAAGAAAGGAAGCCCACTTTGCCTGGATCTGCAAAGAAAGGAAGCCCACCTCAGCCTTAATGACTTGGAGGGGAGGGAATCTTCTGCCTTGTCCCTGGTCATCACGATCCTTCTTCTAGCTCCTCCCCTGCCCACAGGGAGCAGAGGTGGAATTTAATCCTGGCCAGGAAGGCAAATGCAGCCCCATATTCCAGGGGCCAGACATGGTCACTGTGTGTGTGTGTGTGAGGGCAGCACCAGAGTGGTGCTCCTGTGTGGCTCTCACTCCTGTCCCCATGTGGGGCCCGGGCTCTCAGGATGTCCTCAGTCCTGCCCTTGCCCTCAGGCCTTGTGTCCTGAGACTCATCTTAGAGTCCAGAGCTGGTGCACAGAGGTAGAAAAGAGGACAGGTTGGTCCCAGCCCCACCTGCTTCCAATCCACTCTCCTGAGAACCATTCAAGCCAGTGATGGGCCTGCCCGCAGCTAGTGTAAGAGGCAGGCACTTTACACATGGGAGGTAAGAATATGGCACTTGGCTGTTTGGGAGCATCCTGGCTGGGGAGGGAGATGGGGACCTTGGGTCCCCTGGAGGCAACTCTGGACAGCTGGGCATGTAATACCTGCACCGACTGTCAGAGAGACCCATTGGGAATCTCTGCCCCATAAGATGGTTCCAAGACACACTTGGGAGCCAGGCCCTTCAGGTTCAATGGCGACCAAACCCAGCCCTGCTCTTTGCAGCCGGCAGCGGCCCACTGGGATGGAAAACCCCACACAGAAACGAGCTCAGTGAACTCCTGACCTTCCTCTTCCATAATCTTGAGGACTAGGTTTAAGTAGGTTTGGCACTGAGGGCTCTTCAGGAGGTGGCCCCTCTAAAGCACCTACCTTATCTATGTATGCACCCCCCCCCATTTACTTGCATAAGAACAACAGTCATTGTTGGGCAGAGAGGCCGGTATTCTGCCAACTGCCTCCTGTTGGTGGCATTTGTCAC